CCTTCGATTGGGTCACTGCAGTACACACCACAAGGAGAGACACCTGAAGACTGCTTGAAAACTTCACTCAGTTCAGAATGCATCTGCCTCTTAGGCCTGGTCTACACTACAGAGTTAGGTTGAGACTTGAGGCACATTACGTTGACCTAACTCTGTAAGAGTCTATGCTACAACGTTGCTCCTGCCGATGTAAGTCGCCCACTACACCAACCTAAAAACTCCACCTCCGCTCACAGCTGTCAGCCCCAGGCGGGGGAGGGCAGTGGCTCCAGCTGTGAGCCCTGTGCGGGTCGGGGGAGCTTCAGCTGACAGTGCCCTACAATGTCCCACACAGTTGAGGCCACACACCACTGACAAAGGGGACGTAGTGTGGTCCTGAACTGCAGTACCTCTATGGCAGTGGTTCCCAAACTTTAACAACCTGTGAACCCCTTTCACCAAAATGTCAAGTCTCGCGAACCCCCTCCTAAAAATGAATATTTCCAGGGATTTTCTCCTTTACCTGAGTATAAATTATAAAAGCAGTGATCTTGGAAATATAAAATTTGTTTTTATGACATGCTTAGTACACACTATTAATTATTATTTATCATTACAGTATTTTTATTACATTATGAAAACGGCAACACTGTTCCAAGATCTCACTTTCGTAGCTTGTATCACTTTGAATAAGCCTGTTATAAGACAAGGCTCCTATGTTTCATCAAGAAGTATCAGATGTGAAACAGCATGAAGGTATGTAAGAAGCCAATACAAAGAGTTCCTCTTATACAAGCATTCAGGTCTTGAGCAGTTCAAGCAAACAACACACATTACAACAAAGCTTAAACTTGTTCTTCATAATACTTTTAAAAACAATACTAGCTGCCTATTTAATTTTAAAAACAGCAAAAAATATCCACCTCCCTTTCTATTTCTTATAAGGAGTCTTGAAGTTTAAATCTCCTCAGTGTGATAGATGTGCTTACTTTGATCTGCTTAGCTCTTGGAAGTCTTGGGGCTCCGGGCTGCTGGTCCCGTGCTCCCTAAGGACAGCTCTGTCCGCCATTAGGGAATTTTTCCCCGAGAACCCCCTGTAACATTTCGCGAACCCCCAGGGGTTCACGAACCCCAGTTTGGGAACCACTGCTCTATGGCGACCTAACTTAGGTTGACTTAATTTTTGTAGTGTAGAGTTGCCCTTACTTAGGAGCATGTTTTGTATGGTGCATGCTACAATCCTGATCCTGAATCTGCAAAGCTTTGAGTTATTTCCCAGATGCAGTTCAAGTTCTTTATGGTCTGAATTTTAGCTATTTAGAAACCTCCTCTCTCATCATGCCCTATCCAGTATTGCCAACCCCAGCATTCAACAATCATGAGTCAGGTCCTCAAAAGAAGTCATTATATTAGCATAAAAATCTTGGATTTTAAAATAATAACTCTTGGGTTCTTTTTATTTGCCTCCTTGTGCGGAAGGGTTCAGGCATCATGTTTTCAAGCTTTTCTCTGCATCATGTTTTCAAGCTTTTCTCTGCAACCACAAGAGGTAGAAACTTACTTAAAAAAATAAAAGCTGAGATTCTCAAGGTAACAACCTGATTCCAGCAGTTGGGGTCTTTAAAAAAAAACACCTGGGAGACCCAGCAAACCCTTATAGCCATGGCTCATGAAACCTTACACGGGACACCTGAACAGCAGTAAGGAGCAGTTCAACAATAGGCTGAGTACGTGCCGGATGATTGTGGAATATGCCTTTGACAGATTAAAGGCGTGCTGGCGATCCCTTTATGGCAGGTTAGATCTCAATGAGGATAATATTCCCATGGTCATAGCTGCGTGTTGTATGTTGCATAATCTCTGTGAAGCTAAGGGTGAAAGGTTTGCTCAGGGGTGGAGTGTTGAGGCAGAGCGCTTGGCTGCTGATTTTGAGCAGCCAGATACCAGGGCTATCAGAGGGGCCCAGAGGGAGGCAATGCAAATCAGGGAGGCTTTGAGGCAACACTTTGAAAACGAGAACCAGTAATGTATATCTCTGTGATTGGTGATGCAATGTTACATTACATGTAGTTTTCGTAGGAAGCAATGGTGACATTTGAGGCCTTACATTCCAGTAAGCAAATTATTAAACTACCTCTGTATGTATTGGTGGTGCTTGCTATCTCAATTTGTAGGAAACAAAGAAAGATGAGTTACCGTTCAAAAACTTTGCTTTTATTGCATAAGAAACAACACACACACACACACACACACACACACACACACAAAGACGCTTGGTGGGAAAGGAGGTACCTGGGAAGGACAGACTCTCAGAGCTGTGTGTGGTCCAGTTATCATTGTGAAAGTTGTCCGAGGTGGTGGAGTGAAAGGGAAACTGAGAAATCCCGGAAAGGGGAAAGGACTGTGCGGGTTGAGTTTTGGGGGGCACAGAAAAGATTTCTGAATGTGCTGCAGGGGAGGGTGGGCATGCATCTGCTCAGTCTGCAGTTTTATTAAGGACTTCAGAATCTGCATTTGCTCCTCCATTATTTTAATCATCCGCTCAGTAGCATCCTTAACAAACTCCTGATTTTCTTTTCTGTCCTGCCTTTCAGCTTCCCTCCACTCCTTGCATTCCCTTTTCTCTCCATTGGAGAAATGCAGTATCTCCTGGAACACGTCTTCTTTGCTCTTAGGCGTTTTCTTATCTGGCAGAGATGCTCAGACGGTGTGTGCGGGGTGTTCCTCAAGGCTACATCTGCCGAAGCACAAGGAACAATGCATAGGAGCCTGATTGTTAAGTTCACACACAGCATTGAAACATTTCAGTAAAATATATCTCTGGTAACATACCAATCACTTTCTCACTGACCCTTGGCAAGCACACACCTCTGTGAACACCCAAAGCATGGTGAGTGTTGGCTGGGGTGGGGGAGCGCTCTACACGGGGGAAAGAGCACTCTGCAAGTGTTATGGTGCAGCCGACTAGGGAAAAAATTCTAAAATTCTTTTCCACAGGCAGGGGTCATTGTAGCAGATATCTCACTGCTGAGGGTAAACAGGGAAGTGAGGTTGCATCTACTACACACTTGTGGCTTCCACTCTTTTGTCAACAACACTCTGTAGTGTAGACAAAGCCTTAGTAAAAATACACCCATTTTCCTCCTCCAGTTTTCTCCTTAACTGTTTTTGGCCCTTATCCTGCAATTTGATCCATACAGGCACAATCCTGCCCCCCTGCGGAGTCTCATGGACTTCACTGGGGCCCTGTGCAGGTCTGCAGGTCTGCCCATGTAAATCATTTTGCAGGAGTGAGACCTTAGTAACTAACTGTTTTCAGTGAAGCACCTGAAGGCTGGAGTGGCAGGTTCCCCTGGCAACAACAAAACGTCAGGGAGACTGGCGCACTTTCATGGGCAAACGCTGACTTGCAGCTTCCTTCTCTAATGTGTCTGTTCCTGAGCAGGGAAAGCGTTGCCCCTCTGCCTCTCTGCCTTGTTCCTCTTGGCCAATATGGTAGCATTTGAAAAAGAGCAAGAGGGGGAAGTGGGGGAAATGCTCCTGAATTGGAAGCAGCAGTAGGCTGGTAAATCTCTTCATTGTTGTGTCTCCCACAGAAGGGCAGAGATAACTTTCAAACAACAAGGGAGGCAGCAGGGTCCACTAGGTAAAATACTGGACAGGGTTTTAGGAGAGCCGAGTTCAATTCTTGACTCTGCCACTGATCTGCTAAGCAACCCTTGGCAAGTCACTTCACCCTTCTGCTCCTCCTTTCAGCCTTTGTCTCATACCAGGATGGATTAGTACATACTGTCTCCCTGCATTTCTTATGCAGCACCAAATGGACGCAGTGTTTCCGCCTCTTGTGATTTTATCGCAAGCCTTGCAATATTTGGTGTTTTTTCCTAAAGTCCCAGCTTCTGGAGTCTGGTTATTTCATGATATTCTCAGCTTCCAGTTCTTCAAAAAGGAAGTTTTTAGTCTTTGTGGTTGCAGAGACAAGCTTGGAAATGTGACCCAAGTGGATCCTAAAGGCTCAGAAACCAGGAGACAAATTAAAAGACCCTCCAGTTTAGTATTATTTTATTATTTCTCGTGGTTTTTAAGACAGTCTCATGATTGTTGAGGCCTTATATGTTTTGAACGCTTGGGGTGGGTGATACAATGGGCATAGTACTTCCTATCCCAAACAGTTGCATGGTGTGCCTGTGCAGTGCTGAACATTCGCCCCATTCCACGCCAGAGGAGGCTGTTTCAGCACCGTGATTCCTTTGTGCATATCAGTGTGTTTGTAAAGGGAACCTTTAAGGATGGGGAGCACTATATAATGGTAAGACCACTTTTACTTCTCATGTGCTGCATTGCTCATGATACCCTACAAAAGTCTGCACTTCCCCTAACAAAAAGAAGAAAATGCTGACCGGATGCAGCGATCTGCCATACTGCGGTGACATCAGCGTGAGCTGTAGTGTTTTGGAGAACGGTGCCCTAAAATGCTGGTGTAAATCTTGGGGCCCAATCTTGCCATACCGTGCTGGGCAGAACTCCCCCAGGTCCCATGTCCAGGAGGCTGGCAGAGCAGTGCTATTTGTTAATTACTGTTTGTAAATTGCCTTGAGGTCCTTGGAGAAAAGGCACTAACCAAGTACCAGCTGTTACTGATTTTATAAGGGTGACCCTTTAGATCAGCAAAGGAGAGAGTCGGTTTTGCTAGGGAGCTTTTGGTGAGCTTGAAAGCTGCTGGGACTTTAGGGGCCAGTTCACAGAGGTGAGAAAGTATTTTAAAAGTCAGCAGCACTGAAGGAGTTAATGCACCTCCCACTCCCCCCCAAAAAAGAAAAGTGTCCAGCAGAAGGTCCTGTTTACTGTAGTTTCCCCAAGTCAGTCAAGTATTCAGGGACATGGGTTTCCATGGTAATGGGGCCTGTTCTTCAGCCAGCTGCAGATTAGCTCACTGGAAAGGAGTCAGGATGGGTCAGGCTAGGGAAGGGTGGGAAGAAAGACACAGGAGGGGGAAGGGGTGGAATTAACGTCACGAGCTTGAAGAGATAGTCACAAAATCAGGAAAGAGAGGGAAAAGTAACAGAAGAATCTAGGGGAAATAATTCCACAAAAGCCAACGGGGGCAGGAAAAGGCTCTGGGCAAGAAACCGCTTTCCTGCTTGTGACTGGGGAATGGTTGAGAATGGAAACTGATCTGTATGGAGCGGGAACGTGGGGCTTTCGAGCGAAAGGAAAAATCCTGTAGAGTGGATTGTAAGGAACTCTGCTAACAAAAGAGGGGGCGAGCCAGGGAGCCATGCATCCAGATGTTGCTGCTGCTACCAGGCTGGAACTGGAGTTCCCCAAAATGAGAACTGAAGGTAAAAGAGCTGCAGCCCCGCTACTGCCACTGAGAAAGGTAGGACTGGGATGCCAGTGTCAGAACTCCTCTGAAATTAGGCTTTGGGGTGGGGAAGGGGTGAAGGGATAGGGAGGAAGGGCCTGGAGAGGATGGTGAGATAGAGGGGGAGCAGTTTGGGGGTCCATTCTGCGACTGGCGTTGGAGCTTTGGAACAAACTTGTGAAAGCAGCTGCATTGATCAGGGTGTGGGGAGGAGGGAATATTGTAATTAGCTCCAATTGGTCATTGACAAAACAGATTGCGGTGCCCCCCCTTTTTTTTAAAGGGAGAAAATGCAACCATGCTAACAAAAGGGATCTGCAGCGAGAGCCCAGCGTCTTGCTCACAAGTAGTTTTGGGGGCGATCAGTAATGCAGAGAGTAAAGCAGCCTCTCCCCCCCCCCCCCCCCCATCTCACCACTCTCTTTTCCCCCTATAGTTGCCGTGCGGAGCTCCCAGGAATGTAGATCGCGCCGCAGACTTACACATGAGGGTTTTCTTTCCTTTTTAGGGATCATTTGTTGTTTTAAGGAGCCAGATGGAGGCTCAGTCTAGCGGGGCTGGAGCTGTTTAATGTCATTGTAACATAAGGCTAATGATATGTGCACGTACACATACACGTCTCTAACTCTACCCTTTGATTTGGCTGGGAGAAGTACTTGCATTAGCCTCTTGGTTTATTTATTTTTTTTCCCAGCAATGAAACATAAATGGTTAAAGTTCTCTCCATTCCACACACACACCCCAGCCCAAAGAATTAATTAGCTGGAAAGCGCAGCTATCTAGAGAACTGACTGATTTCACACACTGCACTGCAGGAATGGGGTGGAGACCGTGAGGAAGGATGATTAATTTTGGAAGGGAGCAAAGGTCTGTGAGCCTGATTCCCTTGTCGCTTGCGCCTATGTAAATCAGGAGCAACTCAGTGGAAGTCCATCAGTTACGGTGACTTGGTGTTTGTGTGAATGAAAGGGGGAAAAGTCTCCCAAACATTTCAACACAGTTATCAATTGTAAAAGCATTGGTGTTGCAGCAGAGAGGAACAGACTGTTCCCTAAATCATTTTGAAAGTCCAGGTTGAAAGCAAAACAAAATATCAAAACCGCTCGGGGGCGGGGGCAGTGAGAAGGGTGTTGGATGAAAAGATTGTGTAATGTTGCTGTCTTTCCCATCACACTTCAAAAGCACACTCCCCTTCATAACAGACCATCATTAGAATTCCTGAGAATGGAGAAATAAATAATAATAATAATCATAATGAAAACAATTTTACCAGCTCAACGACAGTTAGTCTCCCTTGGATGGAGAAATTGTAAGTATTCCATTGCCTTTATAATGCTTTACATTTCCAGCAGCACGTTCCCAAGTGGAAAAACTGACAGGCACATTTTTCCTCTAAATTATAGGGGGGGGAAGCAGTAATAAATAGCCCAGCAACTTTTTTTTAATTTCTGTTCTATGTCATGTAATAATGGCTGATTTTCACTCTGCTGCTTTAAGACCCATTCTGGAGTCAAAGCAAACTCTTTGCAAGGAAACGACATTGTTGGGTTTTTTTGTTCTTAGTACAAGGAAAAGTTGTTTTAATTTCTGCTGATATACAGGAAAGCGACAATAGGACTTTTGCTTTCTCGTGGCTGGAGATTTTAGATAAAGGTATGATTTAAAGGGATAAAGCTGAAGGACTTGAGAAATTAGGTAAAAGCAGCAACGTGCAAACTGGTTTTGTGTATCACCCCAGGGAAGGGAAATGCAAAAATCTCAGAGGAAATTTTTGTCTGCTCAATTTTTTTTTGTCTAAATATTTGCTTCTGATTTACGAGACAGAAAACAAAGGTGGTAAGCATATTCCCTCGTAAGAACAGCCATATTGGATCAGACCAGTGGTCCATCTAGCCCAGTATCCTGGCTTCTGTCAGAGGCCAGTGCCAGATGGTTCAGATGGAATGAAATGAACCAGGCTATTTCAAATGATCCATCCCCTGTCGTCCAGTCCCAATTTATGTCAGTTCCTTAGCTCTGTACCGGTCTGTAGTGTACTTTTAATCCAGCATTTTCTTAACAAAAGCAAATTTCAAAAGAATATTGAGATCCAAAACCAGTCACGTGTAGGTCACTGGTTTGAATGTAGCCCAGATAAGCAGTGACTCTCAATAATAGCTATTTCATTATCGTTCAACGAGACCTATGTGAAATAAGTTTCTAGTCTCAGTCCAGTTCCCAGTGGACTAGTGTCTAGTCACAAAACCCACTACTGAACTGGCATTCAGCACAGGCATGGAAGATTGACTAGAGATGGGCACATAACTAGTTTAATGTCTCACCCTAGAGATTGTCCCTATTTCAGGGCTGAGGGGAATGGATGGGGCAAAGGATGGGGCAAAGTGGGTGAGCTTGCTTGGCAGCTATCAGTGGTCTTTTGCTACTAAACTGGAGACTTCACTCTCTGGTGCTTTCAATCCTGCGCCTTTGTCTAGCACTAATCTGACTGTAAAAAATAACACAATGACCACAATAAAATGCTTAATGAACTAATTCTTAGGATGGAATCCTGGCCCCATTGAAGTCAATGGCAAAATTACTTCATGGGGTCAGGATCTCACTCGTAATTTTTAGTTTGATTGGCTTTTCATTTCTTGGATTGCTTGAAATGTCCTTATTTAATTTACTATAGATGGAGCTCTCAGCACTAACTACGTTAAGTGGCTCAGTAAACATGGCATCTGATTTCTACCCTCGATGGTGATCCTGAGAGAACTCACCTGACCATAGAAGAGAGACTCAAATCACCTCCGTGTCATAGTGTCTTATGATAATGAACATTAATTAATTAGCCATAGGGCTCAGTCGGAACAACAGCTGGGAGAGAATTTACAGCTATCTTTGATTCTCTGTTCTTATATTGTGAAATGCACTATGAGGGACAAACTTTGTGAGGTGGCACGGCCCGTCAGACCCAGAGCTTTTGGTTCTATCTGTTAATCTAAGCTGTGGGGTGCCCAGATGCCACAGGGAGGGGTGCTATACAAGAACCTTGATAGAATCTAGGCATTTATACTGCGCTCATCACCATAGTACCTGAAACTGATAGCTGGAAGCAGCATCTTCCCACCAGTACTAGTAGCTCAAAGGAATAGACTACAAGCTTCTTTTGCCTCCTAATCATAAACACTAAATAGGCCTTGCTTGGTGGCCCTGGTGGTTAGTACTTTGCAGGGCATTTCACAAGACCACAGTTTAATTGCTGGTCAGGTTGGCAGAGCCTAGAGACAATACTTGACCCTGGGCAAAGCTTAGTAACTTGTGGCTCTGTAGCAGCTCTCGCCATTAAAGCAGGGGTGTTGCTAGGCTCTTGAGACAGTGGCATCTAGACTGCAAGACCTCAGCTGGCATAGCCTTGGAGCTATGCAGCTGTGGTTCAATTCCCTGACACCAATAGCTTGCCCACAAGCAGAAGGCCCCAGCCTGGCTCTTACTTGCCTAGTTACACTTTGCAGGGTGACAGGTGACTCTGAGAGTAGGGGAGAGATGGAAGGGGGATCCTGAGGGCTCCAACAGGAATGCAAAGGTCCCAGGAACATGTGGTTACCTTCTCATCCAGTTGTGTATAATCCTGGGATAATTTCTGTGACTGGATTGTGGTTCATTACTGCACAATGATCTACATGCTTCTGGCCCAGAGTTTTCTAATAAAGCTTGTGGGCTGCATTTCTGAACCACCAGAAAGTGAGTAACACCAAGTCAAACCAGCACTTAGCTCTGTCGGAGTGGAATATTTTCCCTTGACACTGAGAGCCTCTCATTGTAATCTTAGTTGTCATCATCATTATATCATTTGTGTTTTCACATCTGGTCTTGGCAATAATGAATTTAAAAAATTATACAAAATCTCGGTATGTCAGTAGGTCCTAATCATCATTGTTTAGTCTTTCAAGAGCTGAAAGTATTTAAATGAGATGAAATCAAAAGATTTCCAAGACAACACGCAGCCCTTAGAGGAAGTGAAGAATAAGAACTGAGAACAAAGAACGCTAGAGTGACCAAAGTAAGCTGCAGATTTATAGCTCAACTAGTAGCACTTTTTGATGCCTTACACCAGTCCTTGGCTGAGCAGTCAGTGCTGACAAGGCAGTGCAGAACAGGTCATTGCTAGAGATGGCCTTCTTCAAACTGAGAGCTTAAAACAAGGTCCTTTCTGCCTCTTTGTAGTAGCTGTTGAAGATCCCATGGTACTGCTTGTGAAGTCAGGGATAAACTCTGTGTCCCAAACATCATTCTCTGTCTCAGTTAAACAGATTCTAATGACAGCTGCAGCACGACAACTATCTAGCTCACTGCCCTGTATAGTGCTTTGGGATACCCAGGCTATACAGGGCATGGTGTGATGCTGACTATTCTGTTAAAAAGAGAGGGGCAACTACATCCTCTGTTTAGTGTTGACAGCATGCTCAGTGCTATATGTAAAGGAAAATACGGTTCCTTCTCTGAAGAACTTACCGCCTAAATGAAAAGGCAACATAAGATGCACTGGGAGACCCAGAGAATGATGCTAGCTTTCTTCATACCTTTCCACCATGCCTGCCACATTAGTCATTCCACAATTTTCATATTAAAAAAATAGAGAATATACATAGATTAGTTAAGGCACTGATTTTTGGAGGTGCTGGGCACTTCCAACTCAAGCTGAAGTCAATAGGAGCTGGGGGTGAGGAACTCTGAAAATCAGGCTTTGATGGCACATAACTTATTTATGTAGATCAGAACTGAAGCCATGTTGTGCTGGGCACTCTAAAAACATAGAGGCAGACATAATGCCTGTCCCAAAGAGCTTGCAAACTAAGAAGTACTTCAATCTGACTTGGGGGCCAGAAAGCCAGCTGGTTAAATGTGGGTGATATGATGACGGGGTATTTTGAAATAACCTGAAGGATGTCACACCCTTTTTGGCTCCCTGTGGATATGTTGCCATGTGCTTGTGTGGTTCTGTTTTTCTTTTGTAGCAGTTGGCACTTTCTGTC